TAAATTTAAATTTTATTAATGTACCCACTGGAAAAAATCGCTCTCGCGTTTTAAAGGTTGTAAATTTGATGTAAATATGATTAAGTGTCCAAAATTCTGTAAATTTAATGGAAATGATTTACATCAAATTTACAGAATTTTGGACACTTACATCATATTTACATCAAATTTACAACCTTTAAAGCGCGCGATTTTTTCCAGTGACCATTTCTGGTATTTATGGCAAAAAGGAATTATTATTATATTAGTTAACCATCATAATTGTTGTAATTACAGGTCGGTGTGAGCTCAATAATGCTACCCATCTCTCTCACCCAATGGAACTTCTCCCTTCCTTTTCCAATGTAAAGTATACGATCAGCAGAGCTCGTTCGTTGATCACGTGTAGCAATCAGTATTGCAGTGATAAAGATATATGTATCGTGAACAGCGATGGATCTTCATATCAGTGCAAAGGTAACATAWAAAGGGAAACGCACGGCATTTAAAAAAAAAACGGATSGAAATGAATTCGAATAGGTGAATGCAAAAGGAATATTCCTTTTTATATTCCATATTATTCATATATTATAATTCATATTCATACAGCCTTTTGCAAAAATTATGAGAATTGTTGAAATATCTAAATATCATAATATCGAGTGTATGATGGGTAATCCCGCTCGATGCCCTTAGTCCCTTGTCTTTGTAGTTTAGGTTTTTTTTGGCGACAGACTTATCCGTAGTTCTGAACATTTTCTCGATGTCAACAATGAATTCTTTAGCAAACACGCGTGTTCCGGACAATATATGGATATGGATATTATGATATTTAGATATTTAGACAATTCTCATAATTTTTGCAAAAGGCTGTATTCATATTCATATTCATATATTATAATATTCCATATTAATATGGGAAAATACATCCTCGGGAACCCAGGGATAATCTTCTGTCGTTCGTTCCTCACTCCCAGAAAAAATACCCCTGGGCACGAAGTCTGTTAGACCTTGTTCTCGATTCGAAATTCAAAATGGCGGCCGGTAAATTTCTGATTGGTCGAGTGATTCACTCGAACATTCTGATTGGTTGATTAACTTACCGGCCGCCATTTTGAATTTCGAATCGAGAACAAGGTCTAACAGACTTCGTGCCCAGGGGTATATTTTCTGGGAGTGAGGAACGAACGACAGAAGATTATCCCTAGGTTCCCGAGGATGGGGAAAATAGAAGGAAGACTAGGAAGGAAGGATGGAATGAGGAAGGGAAAGAAGGATGGATCAAGGGAGGGAGGGAGGGTGCGGAGTGAAGGATGTAGCAAGGAGGGAAAGATAGATAAGTGTGCGAAGGAATGAATTAATAGGATGGATAAATGAATGAATGAAAAGAAAGAACAAATGTATGAACATATGGAGAAGACGCGTTTAAAACTCAGGACAATCGGTTAATATTTTTTCTTTCACCACTTAGTGTGCAGTGCAGCTCTAGGCATGGAAAGTAAAGCAATAACTAATGCACAGATCACTGCTTCATCCCAGTTCGGTGATCCAGGGCATGATCCATGGAAAGCGCGCCTTAA